GTGTTTGGAGCCCATCAATCAGCCAACCTGCTGGTGATGTACTTCTAAGCTGATCGTTCACGGCAGGGAAACCAGATGTGCCTGGCCTGTGTTTCTAGCTCTGAGTTCCTTGGACCTGACATAGAGTTATGAAGACGTGAGGAAGGTTAGGCTAAAGGAAGGGGCTGGGTTGACTCAAAAGACCCAGCTTATAAGGGTCACTTACATGTCACCAGCACAAGAGCCTGACCTTTGTGGTGTGTGGCTGCCCCCTCAAAATGTCTGTTGCAAATAACACATGGAAAAGTGAATTTCACTGCGAGATGGATGCCTGAATGCCTGTCAGGGTTCCCATCTCAAGCCAACCGAATGCTCCTGCAGATGAGCAGGAACTGTGGTAAAACTGCTGCCATAGTCTGACACAGCATTCTGTTGCTAATAAATAACATTTCACAGGCTGATTCCAATGGATGGACCAACATGAACCATTCCTTATGCCAGCTCATTGGAAAAAACAACTCCAAAATACAAGGTAGAGCAGAGAAGAAACGTATCTTAGCAGAGTAAAAACCCACAACAACCAAAACCCAACCTGACAGGTTTACTCTGCAGGCCTGGAGAGTGATGTAGAACGTGGCCTGTACCGGGGTTTTTGGCAGAGCCCCATTGGGTGCTGGGAAACACAGTCAGTGCCTTCAGTTTGCTACTTCTGGTTTGTGGGCTCCTGCAGTTACACAAGTTGTCACGATGCAAACCAGTGTCTAAAAAGCTGTCAGACTACTGGAACGGGAATATAGCGAAACTTACACCTGGATTCAAGCAAATGTCTGAAAGTTTGATCTCCATAAAGCAAGTGGTACAAAAGCCTTACAGCAGAAGTTCACTCATTAACAGCCTGGAATAACGAATGGGACTAAATTTTATTGTAATTTCCCATTCGTAGTTTGGAGGTGGGTTTGTGGGATCCAAAGGGACCTGATGCATTAATTCAAAACACTGAATTGTTCTAAGAGGTTGGCTGTTGCCCGAGGGTCTGTGGCTCACCCAAAGGTTAGACCAGTTAGCCAGAGGGTTAGATCCAGCAAGGGTTTGTCACGTGCTACCTTCTGTTTTTCTCAAAAAGAACAAGAGGTACAGCACAGAGAAACTGGCAGCATGAGTTGAGTAAAGGAGAAAGCTTTTTGTTTGGACCAGTAAAAGAATGAAAGACCGTAAAGAGAGCTAAGTATGCTATTTAACCTTTTCTAGTGAACCCCCTGGAAAGTGTTACTGATTACTTTTTTTCAAGTGGAAACTCTGAAATAGTACTGTTTCTATTCTTCTTATTTTTATGTGAATGTACAGATTTCAGCTGTTGCCCAGCTATTTTAAAAAAATAAAACCAGAATGCCTCTTCTGTAGCTGTTTTGACTGTCCAGGCATTAAGCATTTCAGGCTTCAGGGTTTTCTTGTTCAGTTGGTGTTGGTTTGGTTTGGTTTTGATTTTTTTTGGTAAAGTATCTGTGCTGCACAGCCTCTGGCCTTCTGTTCTGAGCCTACAGTGATGTGAAAAAAATGAGGAAATGTCCAAATCCTGCAAATCCTGTTATCATCTTCCTCATGTAGGCTAAAGCCATCAAACCTTTTTGTTGGTTGTCAAAGCCAAATTCTTACAAGCAAAATTCCTAAGCTCCTGCTCAGAGTGCAGGTACGGCAAGGGAACCATCATGCTAGAAATGGCGCTGGAGCTGCTAGTGCTTAAGGTTGCTGAGTGACCACAGCACAGCTTTTTGTTTTCAAGATGGAAACGCTGTATTTTCTTTCCAAGTGAAATGCACCCAACTGTGCTTGCAAATTTTAACTAAAACTCCAGTTCTGTGATTGATGGGCAGAATGAAATAGACTTCAGAGTTTTCTGTGAAGAAATTAATTCATGGGCTTGTATGACATCCCTCATTTTATATTCAGTTCTGAGTTTTTTATTCCTTCTTTGTTTTGGGGGTTTTTGTTTGGGGTTTTTTTGTGTATGTTTGTGGATTTTTTTGTTAGTACCTCCTCTGGTAACAGTTTCAGGAAAAAACAAGTCAGGAAATCTTAGAAAATTAGATCATTTGGTCCAAGAACATTCTCCACAGCAGGGGGTTACTATCAGCTCTGGTGAACACTCAACTGGTTCCCTTCTGGAGCACTCAATGAGACAAAGAGAGGAAGTCCTAAAAAGAATATCTAATTATGTGAGAAAGTAATGCATTTTCAAAGGCCATGACAGGAAATGAACAAGATGGATCTCATTAACTTTGATCATGTGGCAATGTTTCTTCATTAAGATGGCAGGCAGTATCATTATTTCTTGAAAAATGAAAATGGAAGAGAATCTGTGATTGATGGTAAAAGGAGAAAAGCAAGTAATAAGACAATTAGGTCGTTGTAGATCAATTGCAAGACAGCTAAAACTAGTATCCTGAAATTAAACCTGTTATAGATTTACTGTATAATACAGATGAACACATCTCTCTTAATTTTCTCTGTATGGAAGCAAAATACCTACATAACTAATCTGGATAATTTCAGTGTCTTGTTAAAGTTGGAAAGTGGTTTAGGACATGTAAATAAACAAATGTCTGTTTTGAAAAGAATTTTGGATATCCCAAATTAAGGGACAATTTAAATCTGTTGTTGTGCTATCTCAAGCAGAGACCTAAATTGTGTGCCTGCTACTCTTGGTATCAGCATCTTCAGTAAGAAAATAGAAGGTACCTCAGAATCTCCCCTGTGACTATAAGATGTCATTTATTGTTCGCCTGGAACTCTGACTTGGCTGGCCTCAATACTCCAACAGCATTCTTGTAGTAATTAGTACATGCTACATTAAGAAGATCAGTCGTGCGACTTTAGCTTCAGGTATGGCAGATCAGATGCACGGCAACACCACACGTGTTCTCCAGCAAGTCAGCAATTTAAACAGCAGTGAAGGTTCATTTCACCATGCATTTGCAGCAGATGGTACATTCCAGGCAGCATCACTTGGTGTCCATGAGGAGGAACGTGGAGGGTACCAGTCCAGGGACTGTACAGGAAGCAGCAGTCTCTCCACAATGTCCAAGCCCTTGTCGATGAGCAACTCCCCTCTACAGTAGGCCAGGTCAGCAGATGGGGCACCCATTGCAGTGTCAGAAAGTCTCTCACACTTCCTCCTGGTGCTTCTGCTGGGTTCAGGCTTTGTTGGCTTGCCTGTTTCTTTGCACACAGCTCTAAGCCTCTCCACTCTTGTTAGGACACTGAATCTGCTCTGTAGCTAAAGATCCACAGGTGGAGCAGGAGTGGTCTTCCTTGTGCAAGAAGTCATCAGCTCCCAACCTTCACCATTTGGTGAAGATGTTTGGTCTTCCCCATAACCTGTGTTTTACCATGTGTCCAGCTCTCCTAAATCAACCTCTCAGATCAAAGCCACATTTACTCATCTCTTGCAGCACAAACCTCATGGTAGTTCTTAATGTTGCTTTATGTCCCTGTTCATTAACTAGTAAACCAATCACGTCAAATCACATGCTTTGAATATGATTCCTAATTTTTAGTGCCACCACACTACATTTAATCATAAGGCTCCCATTCTGTTTGACTTAATTCCTTGTGGACAGATCTGTGCTCCACCTGCCACAACTGTGCAGGGAACTGTCACACACAAGTGGCCTCTGTGTTGTTCCCCTCGTCTGCAATGAGGGATTCATCACTTGAATACAGTGCGCCTCAGACAGAGCTTGAAGCTTTCTTTGTCTCCAGAAAGAGATGCACTTGTCCCTGGTGTTAAAACAGACATGCCATGTTTTACATCAAAAAGTGTTCCAGTGCTCCTGACCGAATGTCAGTTTGAGAAAGCAGTGACTGTTATACCCAAAAGGGAATGCCTCCAGGAAGGGCGATGGTTGTGATATCCCAGTTCAGTTACTGACCCAAAACCCCTTTGAGGAAACTGCCAAAAGCTACTTACTGGATCTGCGTGTGCCACACCAGAAATGCTCTTCCTTCTCATCTTTCAATTCTATCAACTTGAAAATTCTTGCCTATGTGAGTAACATGGGTCAAGAGTGAGTCAGCTTATGTCAGTGTTGATAAAATAAGTATTTACAGACTGCGGACTTCTACACTTCTGGTATCATTATCTTGTTCTCGGCCTTTGGATTTTCTTCTCATTTTTGTTCTGCAATGCTCTTTCAGTTACCTTTTAAAACCCTGACTTTTCTTTCTGTAGACAGCAGAGGGAGCCACGTCCCTTCCTTAAGACAGACCTTGGCGGTTCCTGTTTCCACTCCTTTTTTGCTCTTTTTTCAGTCCACCTGAGCTAGAACGATTCTCAGACCGTACCGTTTCTTTACAAGGCTGTGGCACAGTGGCAGCCACGTAGGGAGTTTGCCAGCCTGCTACAGGCCAGGGAGAGGATACCTCTCCTTGGATTGGCCTTTGAAATGCACCTGCCAGGTAGTACTAGAAGTCTCTGTTCTGTGTTATCTGATCAAAGAACGTGGTCTTTTGGAGAAATGGAGCCTTTACAGGTCAGACAAAAAAGCCTTGTTATCAGAAACATGCGTTTGAGACAGTTGTAGCTTCCAGTCAAGCAAAAAGAACAGGTGAGAACTGGAAGTTGTGTTGAACCTTACGCTTGTAGACTGCGTCGCAAGACGTATGTTGCAATAAGGCTCTTCAGCAGGAGAAAGAGCTGTTTTTTTAGAAAAAACAGGATCTACTGCAAGTGACAGTACCAAGCGCACCTCCTCTCCAGAGGAACCCACAGATGGTTTAACAGCGAGGAGTTACATGGGAGAGGAGAAGCTGAGTCCTCCTGCAGCCTCAGGGCCCACTGCAGCTCCATTTGTAAGACTAAAGAAACCAGAGCACAGCTGCATGATCTGAAGCAAGTGTCCACTTTACTCCACATAGTCTGTGGGGTCTTGCTGGACAGGCAGGTCCACCTTCTCCTGCTGAGAGCCCCATGGAGCTCTCAGAACCATGATGAGGTCACAGTGCCCACCACCTTCAGGGTGCATCTCACTTCTGACCGAGAGCAGCTGCAGAGACCAGGATAACCTGGAGCAGCAGCGCCCTTGTCACTATGAAAGCCACTTTGCTGATCTTTTTGTACCTCCTAACTGTTGCAGAGACTACCGGAAAACCCATCTCACCTGAGGGTAAGTTCCACCAGAAAATACTGTTTTTTACAAAAAAATCTACTTGACTAAGCAGTTCCTGACTAAGCATTTTCTGAATTACTCCACAGGACGGCTACCTAGAGATTATTTGGAAGAGGAGAACGAAGGTGGTGATGATGATGATTATGATGATGATGATAACGATGATAATACTCCTAATGTTGAACAAAGTCCTGGTAAGAAGATTGTAGAAACCAGTGAAATGAAATTAAGTTGCAAAGGCTAGGTATTCTGTCTCTTCAGGATCAGGTATTCCAAATCCTACCTTAGGTGGAACTCCCCCTTTCCTAGAATGTGATCTTTGCATCTGCAATCCCAGCTGATAATAACAATGTTCAGTGTGGAGTCGCCGTCTCCACACAAACCAACCCAATGGCTTATAAACACACACAAATGCAGTGGGGAGTCTGTAAGAGCAGGGTTGGATAAATGCCTCTAGGACCCTGTTAGAACAGAGTCTGTCCTTTGCTCATGCAATGGCGTGTCCTTTGCCTATAGACGGGACAGGAATGAAAAGCCTTTCTGCGGTGGGACAGAGGGAAGGTGGACTCTAGAACATCTCAAGGATGAAGTTGGCTTGGCTCTTTTTCTGACAAAAACATGGACAGGCATCCTGGGAAGAGTAGAGGGATGCTGCCAAGATGTGTAGGAATGAGGTCAGGAAGGCCAAGGCACAGCTAGAACTGAACTCGGCAAGGGACGTAAAATAAAATAAGAAAGGCTTCTACAGGTACGTTAACCAGAAAAGGAAGGTTAAAGAAAATGTACCCCCCCTTGATGTGCAACAGTGAGGAACTTGTATCAACAGATGAGGAGAAGGCAGAAGTTCTCAATGACTTCTTTGCCTCGGTCTTCACTGGTAACCCCCTTCCTCCTAGTTCTTGTGTTGCTGACAAAAAAGTTGGAGACCAGGGTGACAAGGTCCCTCCCACAGTAAGTGAAGACAAGGTACGAGATCAACTCAGGAGCCTGAAGATATACAAGTCCATGGGACCTGATGAGATACATCCCAGAGTCCTGAAGGAACTAGCTGATGTAGTTGCCAAACCACTTTCCATGATATTTGAAAAATCATGGCAGTCAGGTGAAGTCCCTGCAGACTGGAAGAAGGGGAACATCACACCCATTTTTAAAAAGGGTAGAAAGGAGGACCCTGGGAACTACCGACCTGTCAGTCTCACCTCTGTGCCTGGGAAGATCATGGAACAGATCCTCCTAGATGCCATGCTTGGGCACATGAAGGACAGGGAGGTGATCCAGGACACCCAACATGGCTTTACTAGGGGCAGGTCCTGCCTGACTAACCTAGTGGCCTTCTATGATAAAGTGACTTGGTCAGTAGACAAGGGACGACCTATGGATGTGATCTATCTGGATTTCTGTAAGGCCTTTGACACGGTCCCCCACAACATCCTGATTGCCAAATTGGAGGGGTACGGATTTGATGGGTGGACTGTTCAGTGGATAAGGAACTGGCTGGATGGTCGCATCCAGAGGGTGGTACTCAATGGCTCAAAGTCCAGATGGAAACCAGTCACAAGTGGTGTTCCTCAAGGGTCCGTGCTGGGGCCGGTGCTGTTTAACATTTTTATCAATGATATAGACAGGGAGATTAAAGGCACCATCAGCAAGTTTGCGGACGATACCAAGCTGTGTGGTGTTGTCGATACACCAGAGGGACGGGATGTCATCCAAAAGGACCTGGACAGGCTGGAGAGGTGGGCCCAGGTGAACCTCATGAGGTTCAACAAGAGCAAATGCAAGGTTCTGCACCTGGGCTGGAACAATCCTCGCCACCAATACAAACTAGGGGGTGAGGTATTGGAAAGCAGCCCTGAGGAAAGGGACTTGGGGGTTCTGGTGGACGAGAAGCTGGACATGAGCAGGCAGTGGGCAGCTGCAGCCCAGAAGGCCAATCCCATCCTGGGCTGCATCAAAAGATGCGTTGCCAGCAGGTCCAGAGAGGGGATTCTGCCACTTTACTCTGCTCTGGTGAGACCTCACCTGGAGTATTGTGTGCAGGTCTGGAGCCCTCAATATAAGAAGGACATGGACCTGATGGAGAGGGTCCAGAGGAGGGCCACAAGGATGATCAGGGGGATGGAGCACCTCTGCTACGAGGACAGGCTGAGGGAGCTGGGGTTGTTCAGCCTGGAGAAGAGGAGGCTCCGGGGAGACCTAATAGCAGCCTTCCAGTACCTGAAGGGAGCCTACAGGAAGGCTGGGGAGAGCCTGTTTAGAAAGGCCTGCAGTGACAGGACGAGGGGCAATGGCTTCAAGCTGGAGGGGAACAGATTTAGACTGGAGATGAGGAGAGGGTTCTTCACTGTGAGGGTGGTGGAGCACTGGAACAGGTTGCCCAGGGAGGTGGTTGAGGCCCCATCCCTGGAGATATTCAAGGTGAGACTCGACGAGGCCCTGGGCAACCTGGTCTAGTTGGGGGTGTCCCTGCTGACTGTGGGGAGGTCGGACTAGATGACCTTTGGAGGGCCCTTCCAGCCTGGGCAATTCTATGATTCTATGATTCTATGATCTGAAACACAGAGGTCTGTAATGCCAGAGCATTATAATGTTAAAGAATGGAATTATAAAATACCTGGGTAAGGAAAAGCTGTTAGCTGGTTCTTCCTCTCGCGCATCAGGAAGGGGAAGATGGAGGAGAGCGCGACTCTGCTGTAGTAATTCAGTCCTTGTACGAAGCCCGTTCAAAATTTGTACTCTTTGTTTATAAGCGTGCTGTAGGCTGGAAACAAAAAAGGTTATGAATAAAAAAGGAGAGGCAGAAGCATATTATATGTGGCCTTCTCATTTCAATTGCACTGTAGGCAGTTACAGAATCCTGCAATAGTTGCTTTCTCTGTTTTTGCGAATATTCTCATTGTGCTCTCTGGAAAAATGCCAGCCTTGTATGGCAAAGGAGTTTAACTAAATATGCCTTCATTTAGAACCTGAAAGAATATCTGTATCCCAGACTGATGATGGAGTGGGCGTGTTAGAGAAGAGTATGGAGAAATTGCAGGAAAAAGGTAAGTCAGGCAGCTCTGCATCTCAAATGACATCTTGGGTTGCATCCTGTGTTACTGACACAGCTGTTCCAAGAACAAGCCAAAATGGCGAGAAGTTAGGTCAAGAAATCCTGAATTAGTCCCAACCTACTAAACAAAATCAGAGAGTGGCCAGTGAGAGAGGAGACTGAACGTCCTGCTGCCCTCCCACCTTTTAACAAAATACATTCATAGACGTCATTTGACTTGGGAGTGATCAGACCCGTGTGGTTCAGGACTCCTCTTACCCTGTCTACTGCTCACCGGTGGCCTTTGTGATCACCGGCACGGTGGAAAGCTCGTGTTTAAAGAGAACCCACATCCAAATTAATCGCAGAAAACAAGTAAGGCCACAGTGTCTGTCAACACACGTGGCACTGTGTACAGATTGACACAATCCCTTGCCAGTTCTACCTGCAGCATTCCCTTCTGATATTTCTGTAACAATTTGGGCTTCAGAATGGAGGACGATTAACAACAACTTGAATAGCAATGTAATTTTTCCCTGAGCGCCTCGTTGCCTACAGGAAGTGACGGAGACACTGGTGCTGGTTGTTCCACTCAGCAACTTGCCAAGAAGTGTGAAAGGGGGTCTCACGTGCAAACTCTTAACCCACCCCTAACACCTTGGGCAAACGAGGCATCGCCTTCCATACACAGCCATCAAAACTCAAACACGGATCTGGAAAATGCTTCTGCACAAATTGCTCTGCCTTAACATGTAGACGCAGGTTGGGATTTTTGTCAGTAGGTAGTTTCTACTCCTGAGAGATCTGTCCTGTGTAACTTCAGCTTCTTCATTATTACTGCTTGTAGCACAAGTCACCTCCCCCGAAGAAGAGGAAGAGGAGAGCTCTCAGGAAGAGCAGGCACTAGGTAACAGCTAATTGGGGTTTTCATCGGGGTTTCCAGGACTCTACCGTCACACTAAGAAAACCTGTTTGGACACGCTGATCCGACATGATTTTCCCAGTTTCACTGCGCTTAAGACCAGGCATTCCTTTGCTATTTCTAGGTTCAGAACACAGCTATCTCAAGTTCCCCATTTTCTAATCTCTGCAGAATTCCAAAGAACTAGAGAATAAAACATATGGGTTTTTTTTTCCTAAAGAAAGCCATTCTTCCCACTTTTGCAAACATGTTCACTAGTGAACTGCATTAATTTCTGATTTTTCTAGCTTTTAGACTTTAGACAATAATGAAGCAGGTTTCCTAGGCATGCTTCCTCTCCCTCCTTTTCATCGCAGATATTGAACTTTCTGATGTTATTTTCTCTGCTTTATTGTCTTAGGAATAATCTTTGCAGCTGTTCTTTTTCCTTCCCAGAATCCAGACTTGGACCCCATTACCTTACCCATTCTGGACAGAGCCACAGTGAAGAACTACCTTTGCATGGTATGGGTGAGAATTCTGCAAAAGTTCAGATTTAAGTTCAGTTCTTCTGACCAGACAGTATAGCAACAATATCAATTCTACATTTGGAGGGCAAAAATGAAAGGAAAACGAAACTTGAAATCAAGAGACTTTGTCACATCTTCCTCTGAGAATCACAGAATTAAAATCATTAGGCCAGCCCTGTCTTTGAGACACGTGCTCATTAGTGGGTGAAGTACATTTTTTGGATCCAAGAGCCAAATTTATGAATATTTATGAGGATGCCTCTGTAAGTCACAGAAGAGCACAAACAGGGAGTTTCCCCTTGAAAGGGAAAAGTAGCATTATGACTGTTTGCAACTCTATTTTTGACTGAGAATCATTCACCGGAGAATAGAATAGAGCAGTCTTGATGGATTTTGCACACAGTCAACTAGGAATACATAGAATCCATGGCTCCACGGACGCTTAAGACCTCCCCATCTCCTCAGAGGTGAAAAAATGGGTTCTAATAAAATCAGGGTAGCAGCACCTCCACAGTCCCTGAGGCCTGCTAAACTTCTGTCAGAACTACCCTGTCTAGAAGCACTGGAAGATGTGCTTTAGACCATTTCATTGATACCTACATGGATTTGGGTTTTCACAGAACTAGTCCTTTAATGAAGAAGTGCTTATTTTTATTTGCAAATGGCATAGATACAACTTGTTTCTATGTCATTGTTTTGTCCAGGACATCATCTGTGTGCGTACTAGTGGTGTGGTGTGTTTCTTCTTGCAGTGTCACACATGGCTGATTTGCCTGAGAGGAACACAGCTCGGGAAAACAATGAATACTGTAAAGTACATGTGGTGCTGGTTACGTCAAGTATAACTTTTGCCTGCATCTACTTCTTCTTAGTGTGCTGTTGGATGAGGGTCATCAGGCATAAACTGAAATGATGGTAAGTTTTCCAGTCATGTGCTGTACTTTATTATTTGCATAGTAAAGTAAGGTGTTGGTCCAAACATAGGATTACAGACTCTGTAAAAATGTGACAAAGCCTCAGAATGGCTGTACAAATGTATAGTTAATTTGCTTACATTTTCCCCTGAAAATGAAAAGTTTAAGCAGAATTTAAGAATAGACAATTATATTATTACCAAGAGTGTATGTACTAAACATTTCCTTGTAAGTTGAGATGCTCCCCTTTTGACAGTTCAAATCTTGGAAAAAAAGAAAATCCAGTAATTTACCTTCCGTCTTCAACAGTATCTGTTAGAATAACATAATGATTTTTGTTCTATGTTGTAGGGTTCTTCCTGGTGCATACAGAGAAGTGGTCCTGTGATACTTCTGTGTCTTACTTTGACCTTCTGAAGGGAGTTCCTGATTCTTCTGTTACCTGACCTGCAGAAAGCAGCCTGTGGGGTGAAAAAAAAAGCATAAAAACATGCAGAAAAAGGGAAAAGCAAAAATCAGAAACACTACATAGCATAAATTCTGTTGTTGATATACCACTGATTTCTCATGCATCAGATCTCTGCAGTTTTCCTTCATATGAAGACTTATATAGAGACCATAAGTAAATAGAATCTCATCAACAGGGACTGACAAGCCCTGTAACATGTGAGCACGTGCATTTTGGAATGTGCAACGAGACCCACAGGATCAGAAGCAGAGACTGGTCTATAGGGACACTTTTAGCAGCAGGGCACTAAAACCCGGGATTTCCAGATGACAGCCAAAATGTGTCACCTTCAAGGCAATGCAACCAATTTAGAAAAGTTACCTGGCTATGGTCTTCTGAACCCAGCTCAAAACCAGGAATCCTTTCATTAACTTTCATGATCCTGTGCACAGAAGAAACTATAATGTCTTAAGTTCTGAAAATAGTTTCTTCCATAATGCAGAAATGCGAGATAGCAATGCCAGATTTTTCTTCATTCTTTCTTCTATATTGCTACTTAGTTATTACTTTCTTTGGCACCTAAAAGAGCAGATTGCCTTTTTCCAGCCACGTTACTGGCCAGAAGGGGACAGTTGCATTAGCAGCCCATTTTCATCTAGTTTCTTCATTCTTGTTACTATTTTGGTGTTTGCTATGTTTTGAAATTGCCCTAGACTATATGAAGTTAAAGTTTTGCCTTAGGGGCAGTACTGAAGCTCACCCCAGCTGCATGAGTTGACAGTAGAGATGACACAGCTGACTAGAATTAATAAGAAAAGAATACAGACCAGCATACAATGCATGATGGTGCTGCTCCACAAATTCCTGGTTAATTCACATCATGAATGTTGACTGCAATTCTGGTCCCTTACACTTAAAAGCTTCAAAACCAGAGAATTTTTACAGTAGGTTGACTAGGATTATCGGAAGAACTGAACTGCTTCTACAACAGCAATCATAAAAGTGAGATGGAAAAGAGTATGTGTTGGAGGGAGGGGACAGTCTATTATTGAGTGCCATGGACGAAACAAACAGCAGGGGATATCCCTTCAGGGATCCCTGCTCTGGCACAGGGCACTTCCTTCCAAGAGTCTGTCTCCAACCACAGCCCCAACAGTGCCACCAGCCACGTGCCCTCTCCTTTCAGCGGCTGCTGCTTTCTTAAATATCTGTGAACAGAGGCACCACATGCTTCTCTGGTTGAAGTGGTGGCACATGGTGGGTTATCTGCAGTGGTTTCCAGGAGATCTGGAACTAGCTGTGACTGGTGCAGGGCAGTTCATAACCTCCCACCACTACAAGTCACCCCTGTAGCCCCCTCCGACTAAAACCCTGCCAGTTCTGCCCAGTGCCAACCATCCCCTGCAGAGTCACAGAATCACAGAATTGTCAGAGTTGGAAGGGACCTCTAGAGATCATCTGGTCCAACTCCCCTGCTAAAGCAGGGTTGCCCAGAGCGCATCACTCAGGACTGCATCCAGGTGGGTCTTGAAGATCTCCAGAGAAGGGGACTCCGCAACCTCCCTGGGCAGCCTGTTCCAGGGCTCTGTCACCCTCACCGTAAAGAAGTTTTCCTCATATTTGAGTGGAACTTCCCATGTTCCAGCTTGAGCCCGTTGTCCCTCGTCCTATCGCTGGAAACCACTGAGAAGAGTCCAGCTCCAACATCCTTCAACCCACCCTTTAGGTACTTATAAACATAGACAAGGTCTCCCCTCAGTCTTCGCTTGTCCAGACTAAAGAGTCCCAGCTCCTTGAGCCTCTCCTCTTAAGGGAGGTGCTCCAATCCCTTAATTGTCTTACTTGCCCTACGTTGGACTCTCTCCAGTAGTTCCCTGTCCCTCTTGAACTGGGGAGCCCAGAACTGGACACAGTATTCCAGTTGTGGCCTCACCAGTGCAGAGCAGAGGGGGAGAATGACCTCACTTGACCTGCTGGCCACACTCTTTCCTATGCAGCCCAGGATTCCATTGGCCCTCTCGGCAACAAGGGCACATTGCTGGCACATGGAAAGTGTGCTATCTAACAGGACTCCCAGATCCTTCTCCTCAGTAGTGCTTCCCAGAAGATCCATCCCTAACCTATATTGGCGCCTGGGGTTCTTCTTCCCCACGTGCAGGACCCTATATTTGTCTTTGTTGAACCTCATTAGGTTCTTCTCTGCCCAGGTCTCCAGCCTGTTCAGGTCGCGCTGGATGGTGGCACAGTCCTCTGAGGTGTCAGCCAGCCCTCCTAACTTGGTATCATCAGCAAACTTGTTTTGTTGTGGGTTTCTTGCTTGTCTCTGGCTAATAGCTCTCTTCATCAGTTTTCCCATGGGGGATATAAAAGTATTTAGCATTTGAGAGAAGTACTGTGAGTCTGAATTCAACAGTGTCTGCAAGGCACTCTGATGTCACAAAATAAGAGTTGTAGTAAGAGCAGAGCTTGCTCCTAATTCAACATCCTGCCTTTGGCAGCAAGCTGGGTTCTTGGACACATGCAAAAGGAATGGGAAGACCACATGTTCCTGACCCTGGTGTTTGCTGATTTGCTTTCTTGTTGCTTCTGGAGTTCCAGTGATGAAAATGGAGAGCGCGCTTTCTGGCTCCGTAGACATCTCATGGAACTAGCAGTCTATCAGTCTGTTAGCAAAAGGTGTAGCTCGTTTTAGTTAAGATAAAACTTAAGACCTGGTTTTAATACATTTTTCTGGGACAGGTCAGTCATCAGCTTTTGTCACTTTTAAGGAATACAAGCTGCTGTCTGCAAGGCAACATAAGCACTTCCAAACAGTTTTTGATTTCTTTAGCTCAACATGGCATCTATCATCATAAATCTGGTTTTCCATTTAAGAGAGCTGAGTATCTTCTCTGATAAGTATCACTTTCCATTCCTCCCATCTCAGGAGAGAAAGGCTAACTATCAGGAGTAAAGTACTGCCACAGTAGAGCAGTTTTCCCCTGAAAGAACCTATCCTTTGAAAGTGTCTTCTAGTCATGTGGCAGCATCAGGTCATAGAAGTTCTCTGCCATAAATAACACTGTTTCAAAGAGAAAGAATTCTTCCTTCCTTTCCTCAGCGTGGACCTTTAGCCATAGCTGGTGACCACCTTGATGTGTCTGGATTTGGCCTGGCGGCTGCAGAGCCTTTTCACTGCTGCACCCCAAGCTCAGCTGGAGCAGGCACAGATCCTGTCTTGAAACGTGGTGGTCAGTGCAGCTTCAGCGAGGACCTTCAGAAAGGGCGGGGGCAAGAAAAACCTAAAACCTTCAGAAAAGCAATAAAATTAATGCCAGATAGGTGTTAACCCAAAAAACTGGTTGGTTTCTCCCCTCCCTGGCAGTAAGGTGCCTGTCAGAGAGACGGAGGCAAAGGAGCCGCTACATTTCTCCCTCAGTCAAGTATGAGTCTTCTGATTGAGATGCCTTAGAGATTTGTGACTGGATCTCTGTGCAAAGCGTTTTGTCGGATGTCGGTCAGTTGGTGGTTCAGCTGCATGGTCCCAGCTTCTCAGCCTTATCTCTCTGTATTGGACTATCTGGTCTTGATTTCTAAATCTGTGCATTTTAATTCTCCTGATCTTTCACTGTATGTTGCGTTGGTCAGAGTTAAGCTAAGAGAAAAAAAAAAAACAGACAGCTGAAAACGTGTTGAGATCTCAGTGTTAAATTTGGAGGTCTGAGCATGGTGTAGAACCTTGTGAACCTTGAAAGAACAAGGTTCCTGAGGTGCATTTATTTTTTAAAAACTTGTGGGAGGTGTGGACCTCACTCTTTTTCTCACTATTGAGCATTATGCGTTAACACAACCTTAAATTATATCTCTAGAGAGAAGAGATAGGGGGGAAAAATAAAGCTATTTAGTCTCTCCGTGCAAGGTCACAGAGGGCCCAAGAATGTGTGCAGGGCTTGCACGTTCAATATGTACTCTGAAAGTCATATTCTATTAAAAAATCTAGGTGGCAAACCCAAGTACATTTCACCTCCCTTTGGTGTCACAGTTTAGGCCGAATTGGCCTGTGACAGCAACAGATGCTCTCCCCCGGCTTCTCCAGTGCAGGAGAAAAGGAGGAGAGAGAAAGACATTCATGAGTTTCAAATGAACTAAACTACTTTAATGAAGCATTAATATTAAAATTAAAAAGGAATTAACAAAATAGATACAATATAACAAGCTCCCAGCATGACCTCACTGGCAGGAACTGGGGAAGGCCCAAACTGGACTCAGCAACGGATGGGAACTGGATTCCAGATCTGGAGTCACAAACACATGGATGGGCATCAAAGGCAAATGAACAGACAGGGTCCTCCTTGGACGTCAGCCACTGAAGGAGTTTTACCCCTTTGATCCCTCAGCTCTTACACTGAGCATGGGGCAGATGGGATGGAACACCCTGTTGGTCAGGTTTGGGTCACCTGTCCTGTGTGCTCTTCCCTGCAGGTGGGACCCCTCTATGCTTTTCTGTTTCCAACCCTCCAATGAGACAAATAACAAAGTGAGCTGACCTTGGGTGTTATAGCAATAAGTATAAACAAGAGCCTCTCTGCATCCTGTTCCTTGGCATGAAGTTCAAACATTGGTCTTATCACTCTACAAGTGAACAGTTTTCTCCACAATATGCTGTTAATTTCAGAGAGTTAAAAGAGGCCTAGCTAAGACGTAAAGTAACTGAACAGAAAGATGGTTCTATTTTACCTCAAACTGGGACACACGGCCACCCAGTTACAGAACGGTGGGCAGATCAAGCATTCCAGTGGCACCAATGAGCAGTGGGAAGTGATGTGCAAGGAGGACCCTGCAAAAAACAGAAGGGATGATTCATATGGTTTGAGGACATTTGCTTCTCTCACAACCACTATGAACTGTCAAATGCACAAACCTCTTTGCCAGAGATACCAATATATGCCATTTTTGTACATTTTTGTTTTGTATATTTTTTGTCCTCTTACAGAGGAAAGAGTACCTTTTGTGCTCTTC